TAAAGTAAAATGCCTGCGTCCAAATCACCATTTCAAAATTTATCATTGCAGTTGATAGAAAGATTTCCAGGGTGTAAGAAAACTATCCAGTGTTTGATTAGTATGTCACAAACTGCTAAAAATATATCCATGCACTTAGACAACAAATTCCAGGATGTAGACATTTACTCGTGCTATTTTAGGTCTCTTTTCCCATCATTGTGAGAGGCTGTTGTAGCTAATGTAGCAGCTGGCTACGTTATTGCTTCTATAATATAATCCATAATGCAAAAGCAGCTCTTTTCCAAACATTTTAAAGCAGCTCAAGTTGTTTACATGTCTCTGTTAGGTAATTTTCCTATAACTTTGTGCCAATTGGTGTCATACTATTTGGTAAAAGTCTTTATTAAATTGAGACAACTGTGTTTAGTTAAATTTCTCTCATACAGAGAATTATAGGAAAATTATAGTTAGTTGGTTCGGGTTTTAGAAAATAAATGCAAACTACAAAAATGGAGTTGTATAATTAAACATCAAATAGTCCAAGTAATAAAAGTCATAGATTAATTGTCTCTCAGTTCTAGTCAGATCCTTTAAATACTGTTTCACAACCTGAGCATTGGTTCTTTCTTTTTTTTAAGAGTGCCTATCCTTAAAGTTTGGAAATTTTAGCTCTTTTGGAGCACCAATCAGTTGCAAAAAGTAATTGGCATCTTCTTCCAAAGTTTCAAACTTCCCAACAAAATCGTAGTTGATCAAACATGGATAGCAGAGTTTGCCGACTTTTTCCCAGTGAATGTCCATTCCTACCGGACGGTGAGAGTCCAGCAAATAGTGGATGAACTCTTTGAATTTGACTCCAGATCCATTATTTAATGCTTCCTCACAGGCATTTGGGCGATATTTCTTTATAATTGCCTTCCCAAATACTGGATGGTAGTAACTATTAGGGTGTTCAAATTTGTCCCTAAATGCTGACACTAATCGTTCCATGGGATCACGAACAAACACAGCTTTGGTGTAGGTATTCAAGCGAGTATATATCCCTTTTAAGTCAAAGCTGTCTAGCTTTTTCAAATGCTTCCCATAGTGAACAGCATCATGGGAGATATTATATGCAGAGGGAGCCAATCCATTGAGTACCATCAGAATTCTTTTCCAGTTGGAACAGCCAGCCTTAGGTACTTCACAATATAGGATTTTGTGTTTATCTTCTACATAGATCCTGGATACCATGTGAAAAAGATGTGATTGAGGATGGCTCGTCCCACCATATTTCTTGCAAAACTCCTGAAGGAATGATCTGCGTTTCTCTTGGGTTGTATCAGTTTTCTTCCATCTGTTGTCTTTGACTAAACTTTTGTTTAAAGGGTGAATGTCCAACGGCCAATTCATTTCTCTGAACTTCTTGGAAAGGGTCTTAGTTCCTTGATGTTTTTCAGTCAACTTAGTGGTTGGTAACTCCGTGGTCTTACCTAAAGCTTGACCCTCTCCTCGTGAGTGGCTGGTCTCCGTTAAGCCCCTAGTAGACCTCTCAGAGTAAAGAGGAAGATTTTCCTTTTTCTTCTTGAGATCCTCAGGCATGTGGTACTTAGGGTTCTGTTAAAATAAAGAGAAATGTTGAAAGCATATTCACAAATATGGGTATATTGATAAGAAACAACATATTTGTTTTAAAATACTATTGAGGAGAGCATGTTTCATTTAAGCTGCCAGAAAAACTTAGCAAAGCATGCCAAATATACATTTTGTAGTAAGCTTCTTCATAGAAAACATAACAATGAGAAATGGTATCCATGCATCATTTTGAACCAAAGCTTAACATTATATATTATATATATTTGGGTTACTTATATCTTATTAATCATTTAATGCTAATGTGCTTCTTTACACTAATAGACTTTCTTATGCTGAATTATCTGAACATTACTGAGATAAACTATTAGTTGATTTGAATCTATGTTCAAAGTAAAATTTGTTATTGTTTTTGTACTATCTTTGCATCTACGGTTATATATATACACACACACACACACACACACACACACACACATATACATATATATGTATATATATTTATATAACCTTGCAAAATGTTTAAAAAAAAAAGAAAAAGGGAAAAAGGTATTCGCATGATGGAAATGAAAGATGCCTGAATTTTCATCTGAGCTTTGCCTGTAGCACAGTAGAATGTAGCTCAATCATTCTGTAGGTCAGTGATTCCTGAGCTATTAAGGAGTGTGTCACTTTCTAGCACTGATTTAGTTAGTTCATCTGAATGTAGATATAAAACGTAGCTGTATTTGAATGGAGATGTCTGTCGTTTTGGGGGCATTCTGTAATGCACAGAACAGTTCAAAGTCATAAATTACAACTTAAAATTGTAGCAAAGCTATTTATAAAATCCTGATGACCACTTTAGTTTTCCAAGTACTTGCTAAAAGTATTTTTCCCTTGGACTATGTTTTATTTTTATAAATTCATTTATCATAATAATTTAAGAACTATAGTCATACTATCATACAAATTCATTCATGTTTGAGAACTTCCCTTTTTCCCAAGTGCAGAATGACTAGAGAATCCAGAAGAATTGACTTGATGTCTGTACAGTATAAAATTGTATCAAAAGTACAATTAGAATTTAGTTTTCTTGTCAGCAGGTTGAGTCTTCCCATCTACTATCTACTCTTCATCTGACTATATCCTTCCTACAACTCTTACAGTGATGGATAAAAGAAGACATGGAAGAAGGGATTTATAAAGTGACATCCTCTGGTGGGGACTAAAATTGTAATGACTTTGGCTTTCACTCTTGGTAGACTTGGGAGCCTTTGGAGGGCACTGAGCAGAGAAATAACATGATCTCAGACTTGCAAAGGATGATTTAGGAGAAGACTAGACTGGAGATATACATATGTCAGTATGTTATTGGAAAAATTAATGGATAAGCGATATGCTGTGGGAGTAATGCATGGGGCCACTAGCCTAAAGGTGGGGGGAGTGGTGGGAAAGGTTCCTAGAAAAGACATGTATATATAGAGAGATAGATAGGTATATCTATAGATATAGATACATTTACCATTGTATCCCCAAGTGTATAGGATGGTCTATAACTTATATCAATTGCTTTAGAATATTTGTTCAATGAACAAATGAAAGAATGAATGGAATGAGGTGTTCAAAGATGATTAAAAATTTTCTAGTAAATTCAGCAAAAGAACAGAGGAATGAAACATGGTGGATGGGAGCCACCTCCAAGCATCGACTCCTTCTACCGCTGAGCTTCGAGAAGGGTGCTTCTTTCTAGTGCAAGAAGATTATGTGAGTAAACCCTGATCACTGTACACCAACTTGTGTAACCCAATAAAACAGCTGCTGTAATCTTCAATTCTAAAACCATTTTTCTGTTGTCTTCTCAGAGACTGACAGGATGACTTTAACACTGAATCCCTCTTTACTCTGATTGATGACTTGTAGTGCATAAAATTTTCACAGATAATATATAAAATTTGACCTGTGTTTTGAAAGATCATGGAGTTATTGATAGATTGCATGGGAAGTACTTAGCCCAGGACTGAAATAAAAAGGCCACTATATTTCTGCTATTTCGACTACTATAACTATAAAGAATAATTGTTATTATTATTGTTTTAATTCTAGTAATATTTTATCCTAGTGACCTAGTGAATTTCATGGTTCTCCAGTTTTCCGTTATTATCCAGACTGTGACTTGTGTGCCCTTACATATACCCTAATTACTTCTCTCCCTGTCCCACTAACAATAACAAAAGCAAAATTGGCCTTCCACTGTGCCCTCTGGACCTTCCGCTTCTGGCCATCGAACTCCCCTTTCATCTTCAGGGGCTTCGTGAATGTTTATTTCCCATGACTTTCTCTAAATGAAACCTGGCTGATCCCCAAGACTCTTCTTCCCTTGCAATTTCTCGAGTAGACAAAACTTTGCTTACTTGAACCACTTGTCCCACAGGCCAGAGGTCGGGGGCTATTTCCCTGTACTCCCCTGCTGCTTCCAGGACATTTCCACTGGCAAACTGCCTGCTTCTGTGAAGCACATGTGTCCTGCGGAACCTCCCTTGACCCTTCTTCATGATGTCATCTGCTTTTAGCCTTGATCGTTCCACTTTATGCTCTGAGGACTTTAGCTCGTAGCTCCGATTTTGCTTTTTCATTCCCGCTCTTGTCTGTATGTGTAGTCACTCTGATACCCAATAAACTCTCGGTTCCTTGACCACCTGACATTTAATAGAAGTGTTCTCTGTTTCACACAGACCTTGCCACACCGCCAGAGCCTGTACCATCTCCATGATCTCTGACGACTGTTGTCCAAACTTCCAGCTCATCGTTACTTCCAGTTGTGCAATTCCATGACCACTTTTCATTACGTTATCCAAGCTCATAGCAGCCAGCATGCCTGGTTCTTTTTCCTTTAGCTCTCAGAAAGTCACCTCTATAAGGAGGTATTTCCTCTCACTTTGTCTAAATTATGTTTCTTCTGAGATTTTATCCCACAGAACCTTGCTTATTTTCCTTCTAGCACTTATCACAATATGAAATAATTTTATTTACTTTTATGTTGTCTTTTCTCCCCCCATTCCACCTCTCTTGCACTAGAAGATGACTGCAGAGGTCTTATCTTTTTCGTCCTCTGTTAGATCTCTGGTATCTAGCACAGTGCCTGGCACACAGAAAATGATCAATAAATAATCATTGAATGAGTAAATGTGGTTATAATGTGATAATGGGCTTCCATACAATTGTTTTTTTATGACCTTGTTGAAGAAAAACAGTGTGAATCAAAAGGTCACGGTTAACTTAGATAAATACTTCACCAATTCTTGTTAAGGTGCTGAAAATCTGTATTCAAACAAATCTTTGGCAGAAGAGAAAACAAATAAAGCAGGCACATGTAGAGCTGCTTGTGCTGAAGCAGGAGTGGAGGGCTTGGAGTCTTACCTGCCAGTTCAAAGTCATTCAAGGCTGCCTTGGAAAGCCTGCAGGCTTACCAGCAACCTGGACTCCCAGGCTCTTCACTGTGGCACCCAAGCAGACTCTCTGGGGTGGAGCGCCTGACTCTAACTTAAACAAGCTCTCCAGGCATTCCTCAGAAATTTGGGTTGACTGAACCAGTGTATAGCAAATGAAAGTAAAAAAAAAGAAAAAAAAAAAGAGGTCTTTTCATACCATTTAGGAGGGAAAGACACCAAACATGGTGGGCATGAATATTTCAGTAAGCAGAGACTAATACTTTGTTGTAGGCAGGGATGTCCCATCAGCCTTCACATGGACCACATGAAATACTCATCACATTTATCCATTCCCTTTACCGGAAGTCCACATTCCCCAGGCCAGCTTCTAATGACTAGTTGGGCTAGAGAGATATCTGCATGAGGGACAGCTTCAGTGCTCCTAAATTAGACTTCAGTCTCCTCTTAGTTTATTTAGCGCATCAGCTTCCTCAGCTTTGACTAAATCAAGATATGGGCAAAGTATTAATTTAAGTAATGACACCCAACGAGACTTCTTATTAGATGTCCATTAGACCTTCTCCCAGCAACCTCCTTATCTCACCATTAGTCGCTTTACAAAAACCATTATTAAAATGTGGTGACATCTCTCCCCACCCACACCTCATCTCCACTTCCTTCCCATCACAGCAGACTTACCATGACTGAGAAGTTTGGATGACTAAGCTTCATGGTATTTTAAATTTGAGGCTTATATCTATGAGTTTTCATCATCATCATAACGATATTAATAACAACAATAAAAAGAATAAGCTCTTACACTTCCATTTTCCTTCAGGGTACTTTGTTCTGATTGTCTCTAAAGCTAATATATGTAAAGTCAGACTTTTCTTGTTCTTCCAAAAGTGGCTCCTCCTGCACGCTTCTATTTCTGAAAAGCCTCTATTCTAGTCAGCCCCCTCACAAAATCTGAGAGATGCCTTAACCATCACAAAATAAATTGGTTAATTTGCATCTCAAAATGTCTTTTTAAAAAACTCTTTTTTATTTATTTCTTAATTGGATATTCTTTAGTATCCTTCTAATTAGTCTCCCTGAAAATTATTACCAAATTTGTCTTCCTAAAACATTTTGTTTTTCATCACTTAAAATTTGGAAGTGGCTCAATTCTATATAAACTAAAGTCCCAATCCCTTAGCTGATATCGGCAGCCTCTTGTCACTCTGCTCCTGTCCTGACATGTTCTCTGTCCTCTGCTTGCTTCCGTCAGGCCCTCAGCATCCCACACCCATGTTCTTCCCCTTTCCTGAGACTTTCCAAATCTTCCTACGCTGATTTAAAATCCTGCTTTCTCCATAAAAACCACCAGGTCTCCAGTGAGGGATTTGCTCTTTTAGAAACAACTTTAGCACTTAGTCTGTACCACCTGTCAGGAAAGTAACAATGTTCTATCAAACATTGTTATTTGATCTTCTCATTGGAGAAACTTTTAGCCACAGAGAAATTGTAAACTATGGCAGAAAATCTGAGTTGTCCGTAATACCTTTAAAAAATGAGTATTATGGCAAAGTTAGTTGAAAGATCCGGATGTAACTGCAGGTGAAAAAAATGAGT